GAATACTTGTTCCACTTGTTACGAATTTTGTTTATACTTGACTCATTTCAATTTATGTGCTGTATATTTTTAGGGTCAAGTTCAAATTGAATAGAAAATGATTTAGATACATTTTATTCAAATTATGCTGACTGTAATAATGGGTCTGTAAGGTAATGCTGAGGGATGTATCGAAAGTGCATCTTGGCTAATGATAATTAAGACAGACGAAATGGGTTACATCGACTTACCGCGTCGGCATAATCACTTTATTCAAAGCCAATACACTCTTTTTACAAAGTGAACGAATATAAAATTGCTTATTCGTACAGCAACGCATTTATTAGCGAGAAAATTTAACAAACTAATCTAATATTATAAAATTATAAAAAAAATGTCCGAAAATTAACAAAGAAAATCGGATTTCAGAATCAGAAAGGTTTTAATTTTTTTAATGAGCAATGCCCGGGTAAGCTAAACACACTAAGCATCAAATTTCATGAGCAACAAGTCGCAAATTCACGAGCGGGAAATACTCGGCTCAATATATATATATATAAGCATACAGATTTGCCATTTTGTTTACTTTTTTGAGATTTTTTAAATATATTTTATTAAAGTTTTATGCAAACAAATTTTATTAACTTTAGTAGCAATTATAGAAAATTCATTTATATTCCGACAAAATAATTATAAATTAATGAAATTAAATTAAATTATAACTTAACATATTTTTATTTATAATACATATATTTTCGTTTAAATTTTAATTCTATATAATATAAAAGTTTAATTAAAATATAAATAAATAATTAATGGATTTTTAATCTATTTGTGTAATAAAAAAATTAATTTTAAATAACTTTTAAATATTATTGAAAAAGAAAGCGCAAATATTATTATTTTCATTATTCTATGTTAAACTATTTTTTTTTAAATAAAAATTAGTTTTTAAAATATTGATTAATATTAAATTAATTTAAAAGTTAATTTTTTAAAATTAATTAATATTAAATTAAATTTCTTTATTTAAGCTTTTATATATATACGTTTTTTAATGCATTCTTAAATTAAATACGTTTTTTTTAATTAAAATAAAATTTTAAATATGTATTAAAAATTATTCCCAAAAGCAAATCGAATGTAAGAGCTTATAGCTCAAGTGGCAACATATCTGTGGCACATTCCTAGGCATTTGAGCATGGACTTACTTTAATTAAGTGCATTGAATTGACCGCAGATAAATATGTATATGACAACAAATATTGAAATGACAATGCGGACAATTGTTTAATGCTTTGCCGGCGCGTTGGCAGCGGCAGCAGCAGCAGTTGCAGCAGCTGCTGCTTCCATTTCGAACAGATGATGAAGATATATGCGCATATTGAATGACCAATGACCAATGATCCGACGAGATCCGACTACGGACTACGGACTGCGACCAGGCCGTGCCAAGCCAGTCTGCGATACAGTTCAGTTCATTTACGAGCTATTCGATGGCCAGCACGTCAATGACAAGACCAAATAACCAAAACAACAGCAAACAACGACAACCAAAACACAGTTCGAAACGAAATTCCTATGAAAACTTGTGCCCGCTTCTTGATTACATATCTGTCTCTCTGTGTCTCGATGTCTGTATGCAAACTGGAGTAAACTTTTATTAATTGAGCTGGGCCAATGTGTACATACAATACAATATATAGATATATATGTACACATGCACATCAAGAGAAGAACAACGATGACGTCGCAATGCAGCCACTGCCACTGCCACAGCCACAGTCACAGGCGCCGCCACCTCCGACAGCATCGTTCGTTGATCCACAGCCAGAGAACGTATGCGACACATTATACACTTCGAAATGCGTCGGCATTTTGTTACTCACATCTAGAAATAGCTGCGAGACGACTTTCAGCATAATTCAAAATTATTTGTAGTAACATGTCGAAGTAGCAGCTACAACTATTCTGACCTGAGCCCAAACAAAAACAAAATTGATTTTGTATTAGAATGTAACTGCAGCTTTACTTTATTAAAAATATCTATCCTTTATTTAACAAACATATATTTAGAACAATTGGCTATGAAATGATCTTCATTTACTTCAGTCTATCCTTCAAGGTATTTGGCATAAATAAATATTAATACTTAGCTTCATTCTAGTATCTGTATATTCGTTAAACTAACTCAAATTACCCTTGCCAGCTGCTTGACTCTATCTTAATGCAGCTTTTTACATCATGGGACAATTTTAACATTAATAAAGTCATATCATAATATAATATCATATAATAAAGTCATCATGGGACAATTTTAACTTTAATGAATTCATATCTCTCCACAGCCCTACTTAGCTATTGATATTCCTTTTCTTTATAACCTAACCCAACTTTCACGAATTTTACTTCATAAAATAAAATCAAATTATATACATTCTAGTATTTTTATTCTATATTCTTTTTATTATACAGTTCAAGCTTTATCGCAATACAAGCCAACATCAGTTAACAAAAAAAAAATCATTACAAAAACCGGCAACAATTGTTTGCCAATGGAATGTAGCCTAAATCAATATTACAACTTCATCTGTCATCTATTCATCATCCATGCACTATTATCCCAATCTCACCTAGTAAATTATTTACATAAATGTTTAACAGAATGAATATTCAATCGTAGCAATACAAAAAAATTCTCTAAACGCATCCATAATTCCCGCATTATCTTTAACCAAATATGTTGCTCCCAAGAGTATCTGCGCGCCTTCTAACAAAAATCTTATTCGGTCTATAATATTTATGAAATAGCTGGGATTTTTTTTCTATCATTTGACTTTTGTCACGGCTGTCATTAAATAATTCAAATGATTTTGCAACTAGATTTAGATTTCATGTTTTGTGTCGTCGACGCTGACGCTCAATGGAAATGTATCTTTTTATATATAATATATTTACATTTGTATCTGTAGCTGTATCTGTAGCTATAGCTGAACGTACGGTTTGCTCGTTTAGATCTTGCAGTCAGTCGGTCATTGGGCAAGTGTCTGGGGACGTATAAAAGCCAAAATTCGAACTAAACAGCGAACGGCGCACCATGGGATTTTCACAAATGAGATATTCAAATGTTTTACTTGGAAATGTGCATCTCAAGATACTCTGATTCAAAGATATATATATATATATATATATGAAAAATAATATGTAGAACATTTTTGATTCCATTGTTGTCTGTTTGGGGCTGTGCTTTATACAAATTTTCCTTTTCATTTATCCCAACAGCTGGCCAAGCGCCACATGAGTAATTTGCCCCCTTTCGCCCCTATTAATTATATATACAAAGACTGCGTCGGCTTGCTGCCTTTTGTATGTTGTTTATAAACGCGTGAGCTATATTTAAATAAAAGTTCCCAATTTGTTTATGTCCATAGAATATTCACATGCTTCTAGTCACTGGCTAGAGAGTTACTCGGCGTAGAACCAGACCAATTGGATTGACAGTGAAAATGTTTCAAAACATTAAAACGATAGATACCAATCTAAATATAATTTATATGGGTCGTCAAGCCTACAGCAAACACATATCTGTTACGACTGACCTAATCGAGAGTGCTACAATGGTAAATAGCTGGAACTAAAGACCGCTCATTGTCATCTCCCGAATACTATAAATCATACATCATAAATATTAGCATGATATCTATCATAATCTTGATCATATCCATTACTATGATTTTCTTTTAAAGATTTGAATATTTCTTAAGCACCATTAGCAGCTTACTACAAAGTAAGCTCCACCTGTTGAAGTAGCTTTAGATAAAAAAAATGCACTTCATAGTATTTTAGGAGCTAAGAAATTTATTTGAGCTAAAAGACTGAAATCTACATTCTAAAATATGTTCGGATCATTTTTGTTAGACATTGTCCAATTGACAAGATAATGGCTTTTGATAGAACGACCAAGTTTGTTTTCCATTCCTAGAAACAAGTTTTCCAAATAATCTTTCGTAACATAAAATTCAAAAATTTGGTTACGGTAAAAAAAAAAAATTAAAAACATCAAGCTAGGATCGGTTATGGGAGAAAATTCTGAAATACGTTTGTGTCGTTTCCATTAACTAAATATGCTTCAACTGGCCCACCATGACGACAGTCTTTCGATGATGAAATGGGTTTCATTCCATCCTTCAATAGCGTCCTGCTCACCGAAAAGCCCCCAGAAACCTTCTGCAGCATCATGGATTTTGAACGGGTTTGCATCAGATTCCGCCCCACTCGAGGCAAGATCGACCGTAATAGAATAGGCATAAGTACTTTCATAATAATTGGGGACGGCATTTTACGTAGAAATTTTAATTTAAAAACAAAAATGAAATAAAAATAAATTCAGCACACAAATGCGTGGTAACCAATGAAAATCTACAAGTCGAATAAACATTTTCCCATAAATAGTACGCAAAGTTGATTTCAATTTGATTTACGCTTGCTTCGATGCAAAACTTTTCTCAAAACTTTTCCAAACATTTCGAAGGTTGCTTGTCAATCCTCTCAGATCTATCAATTAGTCACGAAATTTTCCAATTAATTTTCCAATGTATTTTTGAAAATCCCATTCAGCTCGAAACTTGGGCTCTTAGAAATGATCATGCATATAAAATAATGAAAAATGGACACGTTTCAAATATTCATATTTAATTATACATATATACGCATGGGATTAGATTTTTCATCAATGAGATATACAAGTTCTTTGTTTGCCAGAGACAGACAGACACATATTCGTATATATATATATATATATATATCTGTATATCTGTCTGGTATTGCATTAAAGATCTCAACAAAAGTGTTTGAGCAAATTTACATACATATATATCTATATAGTTATTTATAGATACGTATATATACTTAATATTTATTTAAAATAGTATAAAATTCATATTACCAACTTACAGTTATTATATATACATACCTACACAACCAAGTATATATCTATTACATTTTCGAAGAATCCAACTCACCTATCACATTTTTTCCAAACATAAATGCATCCAATAATCAGCACGAATATGCAAAAGCATGATAATATATATTTCACACGATCAATTCCACAAATATCGGTCTTTAGATTATCGTACGTATCACGCGATCGATTGAACAATTGATCACAGCGTATAAGATTAAAGAGCGAACCCATTTTCAAAAAAACAATATAAACGAATAATAACTTCTCAGAGATCACGAGCTAATAAATACATTTATTTCGAACTCCACACATTTTCAATGTATTTCAAATATCATTGAATTTTCCACATGTACCAGACTAGACGTTTCTTGGTCTACATAGTATTTTGCGCACAAGAAATGTCGATACTTAGAAACCACACAGAAAATTGAAAATGTAAACAAATTATATTTCGCAATTACAAATATACAGAGCAACTAGTTTGCTATATGTACGTATTTTATTGTACTTGTTTTGCTTCAAAAGATATTTCGTATTTTAGATACACACATTGTATCTGTATATTGCATGTACACATGTGTGTGTGTATATATAGTATATAAACATAAAACGCATGCCGCGTTTGCGTTTTACTTTTAATTTTGTGTGTTTTATCGCAATTATTGTGAATATAAACAAAACGGTTGAGACATTAAATGAAATATGCGCACGTTTCTACTGATTCGAAGAAGGCCGAAAATGTTCCCGTTAGCAGCAGCGGCCCGAACCGTCTGCAGCCGAGTAACGCAACGTACTGAAAGAAACGGTAAAGAAAGAACTCTCGCTCAAGAAGCTGGGTGTGCGTGCGAGACAGACAGACACAGAGAGAGAGGGAGATCGCGAGCATGCAAGCAAACAACCGAGCAGCCGAGCAACAGAGCATGCCTGCACGTGCACGATCGCGCGAAAGCTTTCGCATATTTCTTTTATTCTTGTACCCTTTGCAAATAGGTTAACGAAGCATATAATGCAGCGAAACTGACACGCCCAGCCCTTGTAGGGAAATATTAATTTTAAATATTTTCTAAGCAAAGCCAAACTAGTTGAAAATAAACGTTGTTTATTTTCATAACAAGGTATTAAAATGTACTTTTTACGTACTATTTTATTTATTTTTGTATACACTTATGTATATACGAGGTATCTTTTAGTAGGCACCTGTATATCACTAGCCGTTCAATGTGTCGTTACGTAACTGTGTTGATTTTTGTGTTGCCTGCATTGTTTTTGTTTACATGTGTTTTGCTTATTTGCCGGTGTTTGGCCACAGTTTGAAAGCCTCTGTGGCTGTCAAACTGCCTGGCAAGAAAAGCAAGCCGGTTTGGAATGTTAAACGATTTGAAACTATCTGTGCAGGCTACGGTATGTTTAAAAATCTAGGAAATAAGCAAATCGAAATTTAAAAATTATGCCACGTGCCCTTTTTATTGCAGATAGTTTGCAGATAAACTTGAAACGTAACTGTCATTTAAATATGAGAATCCTTAAGAGTTCCAAATACAAAACACTATCTAGTAGAAAGAGCAGTTCACGTAAAGCTGCGATCTTACCCACTGTGCTAGTACATGGTGGTGCCGGGCATATACGCGATGACTGGGTGAAATGCGTCAAATTTGGCGTTAAAGGAGCAGCGCAGAGAGGCTACAAGGTGCTGCAGAAGACAGGCAGCGTGCTGGATGCTGTAGAGCAGGCAGTTAGGGTTTTAGAAATGGATATTCACTTTAATGCAGGCTATGGGTCAGTGCTGACAGTGGACGGCGATGTTGAAATGGATGCGGCGATTATGGCTGGTGCTAATCTGGAAGGCGGCTGCGTTACCATGGCACGAGATATAACGCATCCCATAAGCTTGGCCAGACGCGTCATGGAAAAGACCAATTATCGATTTTTAGCAGGCGACGGCGCCATGAGCTTGGCCAGAAATGAAGGATTCGAGATACTACCCAAGGGTGCATTGGTAACAAAGGCATCTCAGAAACTCCTACAAATATTTAAGACCACAAATACTGACACGCTTTACAATGTTACGCCAGGCACCGTTGGCGCTGTGGCAATTGATGCGTGCGGCAATGTGGCAGCGGCAACATCAACAGGTGGCCTAACAGGTAAGTTATCGGGTCGTATTGGTGATTCGCCACTACTAGGAGCTGGTACCTATGCTGACAATAAGTCAGGTGCCGTGTCGGCCACTGGACATGGTGAATCGATCATGCGCTACAATTTAAGTTCGCGCGTTTTGGCGCTGGTGCAGCACAAAGATTATGCGATACAGCAGGCTGCGGAACAGATACTAAAACAGATGACAAAGCGCTTTAATCAGACGGGTGGTCTAATAGCCATCGATCATCGAGGTCAGCTGGGCATCTGTTTTACAACGGAGTGTATGTCCTGGGCCTATCAGCAGGCTAACGAGCTGCACTGCGGCGTGACAGTTGGCGAGGATGAAGTGGAGATTGTAAACGAAACTTCAGAATAGAGCTTAACACAAACAACAAAAATAGAACAAAACATAATTATAATATCTATAATAAAAACATACATAATTTTAAAACTGGTCGCAGCCAGCACAATAAGAGTTGTAGCTATTTAAATTGAGCAACAAAAATCACAGCTGCCACAAATGGCAAATAAGAGGTTGCCCGTGGGCTGTGATTCTATGAAGAACCGGAGCGCCTGGGTGCAGCTTAATTCGTGGTCGTTCACTTTCTGTTTAATCAATTGCTGCAATTGTATCTTATCGGCTGCATGCTCAAATCGTGCACCACATTTGCATGTGTAAAGAGATTTAAAGCGTTGCAACGATTTTATCAAGCACACAGGACAAATCAAGTCAAGATCTTTGGGATCGGTGTCCGGCTCAATGTACAGTGCTTCCAAGTGCTGTTCTTGAAGGGCATACCATTCATTGACATCAGAGAGCAGCTCCTCATAGACATGTTGCTCCAATTCCAAGTCTTGATCCAATTCTTTCAGCTCTAATCGTAAAATGGCTTCAAGCTCCGACTAGAAATCAAGTTAAATTAACTGATTTTTATATTTATTGCCACAAATTACCAGTTGCACTTTACGATTTCCATCGACGCAGTCCTTGCGTGCATTCAAAATGCGAATGCGGCATTTCTATTGATTAAACAATTTAAATTTGGTTTAATAATAAGTTAATAAGCCGCTCAACTTTTTTCTTACCTCTCTTAACAGCTCTCGCAGCTTTGGCATGCCTAGACGTTGTTGTCTGGCAACACTTTGCGCATGCCGTTTTTGTTCAACACTTGTATTATATATGGGACTGCTGGGACACTGCATTTTGGCAAATTCTAAATAATAAGCAATAAGACTAAATCTTAATAATTTGTGAAATGCGCGCGTGAACGCCAACAATCACAGCTGTTTATTTATCGGTAAAATATCGAGATACAACAGTTGAATTTTCATATCGCTTACCTACACTGCCGTACAGAGTTGCTCTGAGTATATTTTGACATTCGCAATATGGCGTACTTCATGCTTCCGCTCTTTCTTTCCCTTTCTTTTACCAACGTGCATAGTGTCTAGTAAAAGGTTAGTGCTATTTTCTCAAATTTCTCAACGAGAAACGTTCTAAAATGTTGATATTTTGTGCCTTAAACAGATGCCAGCCCCGGCCGTTAAGAAACCAGCAGCTAAAAAGCTGCCCGCTGTGCCGGAATCTAAACTCAAGTTCAGCAAGAAACAAATCAGCAAGCGTGTTGCAGAGACGAAACGTCGCCTGAAGCGTGTCGCTGTCATAGCCCTGCGCAAGAAGGAGAATCTGGTGCGTGCCGAGAAGTACCAGAACGAGTACATCAAGGCTGATCAGCGTGAGATCAAGCTCCGTCGCTTGGCCAAGAGCCGTAATCAGTTCTACGTGCCCGCCGAAGCCAAATTGGCATTCGTTGTGCGTATTCGTGGGTGAGTTATTTGTCATAATTATCGCGTGTGTTATATTTTCTAATGCTCAATTATGCACTTGCAGTATCAACAAGGTTGCACCAAAAGTACGCAAAGTGCTGCAGCTGTTCCGTTTGCGCCAGATCAACAATGGTGTGTTCATCAAGCTGAATAAGGCCACTATCAATATGCTGCGTATTGCTGAGCCCTACATCACCTGGGGTTATCCCAATCTGAAGTCGGTGCGCGAGCTGATCTATAAGCGCGGCTTTGTTAAGCATAACCGTCAGCGTGTGCCAATCACCGATAACTTTGTTATCGAGCGCAAGCTCCGCAAGGCACATAGCATTCAGTGCGTTGAGGATTTGGTCCATGAGATCTTCACTGTTGGACCCAAATTCAAGTACGCCTCCAACTTCCTGTGGCCCTTCAAACTGAACACGCCCACCGGCGGCTGGCGCAAGAAGGCTAATCACTACGTCAACGGTGGTGACTTCGGCAACCGCGAGGACAAGATTAACAGATTGCTGCGCAAGATGGTTTAAACAGCAGAGCCTCGCAGTGAAATAGCTTAAAACACAGTAAACGGTCTGGCAACAGCGAAAGAAATAAAATTAACTCTTTTTATGAAAGTACCAAAATGCCGTTCACAAAATCGAAAGTGTTTTCACTTTTATGGTTAGTATGCTTCTAATTATAGAGGATGCTTCATTAGACATAGATTGCAGGAATTGGATACGAATTAAATATAAATTGCATAGCCGTGAGGTTATAAGCGGGCATTTCGCTTAATTCAATTGATCGTCAATTCGATACAATCATTTACGTTCTATGAGCATAATTTTAGTTGTGTTTACATGAATTATGTTTGGCGTTAGAGATGGCCTTAAGAGAGTGTTGGATCTCAATAGTAAGACAAGTTGTATCTCACGTTAACACCTTGGGCTTTATTTACCCATCTCTAGCGGACAAAGCACTGTATTTTCGTGACAGCGATGGACCCACTCAGTTTCGTAAATTTATATGGGCTGATTGATCATAGGGTTAGCTGTGAAAAAAATAGTGATTCACCTGCATAATTAGTCTGTCTGAAAATATTTGGTATATAGTATGTTTTTTAATTTGCGACGCCCCCGATAGGCATATTCAACAGTTTTTAAGATATGTATTCCGATTTTCAAGTCTACGGCTTTAAAAAGCCGAATACCATTTTCACTTCGTGAACGAGTATTACAAGAGTTAATATGAGATTACCAATTATTTTATTACGTTTACATGGTATATACATTGTTATTGGATTAAAAAATAAATTATACGGCCATTTCCATTTGAATCTTGCCATGCGGATTGTAGCCAAGAAGTTCGAAATCCTCGTAGCGAAGATCCTCAATGTTCGAAGTTTCACGCTTGATAACAAGTTTGGGAAAGGGACGCGGTTCTCGTTTCACCTGCTCCAGCAGGGGACTCACATGATTGTTATATACGTGAGCGTCGCCCAGCGTATGGACAAAATCGCCAGGCTTTAAGCCCGTCACATGGGCTATCATGTAGGTCAGCAAGGCATAGGAGGCAATGTTGAAGGGTACGCCCAGACCCATGTCGGCGCTGCGCTGATATAGTTGGCAGGACAATTCGCCACGCGACTGCGACACATAGAACTGGGCCAGACAGTGGCATGGCGGCAGTACCATCAGGGATAGATCCATGGGATTCCAGGCGGACATTATGATGCGACGGTCCGCCGGATTGGTACGTATGGTATCGATAACCTGTTTCAACTGATCAATTCCCTGGCCGGTGTAGTCGTCATGGCACGTCCGATATTTAGCTCCAAAGTGACGCCACTGGAAGCCATAAACTGGACCCAGATCTCCAACTTCACGATCCGTGTAGCCGCATTTGTCGAGAAACTCGCGTGTGCTATTACCATCCCATATATGTACATTCTTCTCCTGCAGGATTTTCGCATCTGTCTTCCCAGCAATAAACCACAACAGCTCCTCGGCAACTCCCCGGAAGAAGACGCGCTTGGTAGTCAGCAGGGGGAACGAGTCCCGTAAGTCGAAACGCATTTGAGCGCCAAAAATGGATCGAGTACCCACCATGGTACGATCAATCCGCTCATCACCATATTTAATAATCCTCTTTACCAAGTCCAAAAACTGCACTTCATCAAAGTTCCTAAACTCCTCATTTTCTTTATTCCGTTTCTCGGGGGAACATTCCATATCCAATGTTTTCATCTGCGCATCCAGGCGCCTTTTCGACGGGGAAGGAGATTGCTTCGCTTTCGTAGGACTAACCATTTCCGAAAATGAAAGAAAAGTTTGGCAGATAATCACGGACGTTATTAGTTGACTAAGCTTTTGGCGCTAAAATGTATAGAAAAAAGCCGCGAAAAAATTTCAGAAAATACAACCATGTAAAATGGCGACAAAGTGAATTTGAAATTGTTGATTCGATTAAAAGAAACTTTTAAATTCTAGTTTTTAATTTATAATTCATAAACCATTAAATTGTGCATTGATATTAATTTATATGAAGTACCAAATCCGTGTTTGCAACATACATATACTCAAATATTTTATGGAGCTTAGTACGAAAAATTGTAGTAAATGTCTGCAAAACTTAGCAAATATCCAAAATATCTAATTAAAATTATTTTAATTTATTTATAGATCAATTGCGCTGACAAAAAGAACTATCGGACTTTCCTGCAAAAAAGAAACAAGAACAAAACTATTTCCGAAATGTTATCGATAAGTATCGAATGGTATTTCAGTTAAGGGTCCGCATCCACATCCATGTCAACTTCTTTAACTGTTTTTCGCTATTATAATGAGCTTAGATATTATTTACGCAGTTATGTTAGATTGTGCGATTGAATTGTAAAAGTGTATCAACCGCCAAAAGCCATGTGATGTGTACGCCGCATTTCGACGTCCCTTTTATATGGTAGCTCAAAGGAAGACTTACTGCTTATCTATACTAACGATGGACAGCTCTTAGTCCTTGAATAACGCTTATCATCGATAGTATTTATGGTTGGTTTTTTTATTCCTTTCTAAATTATGATCATTAATCAAATCATATTTTGATAAAAATAAAAATCTTTACAACAGAAATGTTAATCTTATTAAACTCCAAATTGCTTTGACTATTCAAATATATTTTTTAGCGCGATCACTAACTTCGCGGCAGTAGACTAGCAATAAGAAAATGTTTTTAAAATGCCATTTTAAATCAGAATTTATCAATATATTAACTTTTTTTGCCTCGCAGCTGGCAGTGCTTGCAACTCATTTTATAATTGTCAAAGACATATATTTATGTATATTATTTCGCATAAGAAAAAGCCAAAAGGGAAGAAAACAGCAACCGGTTTACAGATCTTTGTGTTGTTGTCAAAACATATGCGATTTATATAGCATTTTACATATGTCACTTAGTCTATATGCTAACGGTATAATGCGCAATTGTCTCTCTTTGAATTATAGATTGTATTGTTCCTATTACTGATGTGTTGTGGTAACGTGTATATTCTGTACCAGGCGCTGTCCCCAATACTCTTCCAGATTGAATGGCTTGAAATTTTTTAATTGATTATCAGATTCATTGCGGTATATAACAGATGTACTCTGTTCGCTAACCTGTAAGTAAACGAAAAGAAAATCAAAAACCATTAACACTCACGATCAAGAAAAGTGACCTGCCACAAGGCGCTACAAATTGTCTTGCCAAATTTAAATATATCATCTATATCTGTATCTATATATATCTATATGCATTTTCATTTCAATACTTACTTTATTCCAAGCCTCCCGAATGTAACGTATTAACTCATCGTGCTGTGATATGGGCACATTTTGGTGCTGCTGTTGTTGTTGTTGTTGCGAGACAGTTGCATAGAGCACATTAGTGTTTGTTGTTGCATTATTAATGCTATTATTGGAGTATTGTGTGCTATGCGATGTGTTTGTTACTGTAGATGCCGAAGATGGCGAAGATGACGAAGTTGAATTTGCATTGTTATGATGATGGTGATTGTGTGGTCCGTTGCCGCTGCCCTGGCGGCGAATGTAGGGGAAACGTCTACAATAATGTTAGATTATTATTAGCCAAATTAGTTTTTCAATATCGTGAAAAAAAATATCGCCTAGTTTTTCACGCAAACACACACATACAGACACAGCCACACTCACAAACACCCTCAAACACTGAGTGTTTACTTTTTTTCAATTTGTATGCGTCACAAGCTTAGCGTAGCATAAACATCTTATGTGTGTCACGCAAATATCGGACTTACCCATTGTTGCGTTCCATTTTGTTATTGTGTTGATAGAAAATATTGCTTCAGTTGCTTGTTTTTGTTTATCACACAATTCCCAAATCTATTATTGGGAGTATTGTGAGCTATTTTTTTCTTTTCGTTGTTGCATTTGACAGAAGTATCGATTGCATGGCTATCGAATAACTAAAACACATTGGCAGCGCTAAAAGCCGGTTGATTAACAGCGGGCTAAAATGAATTTAACAGCTGTTACTGTTTGAAGACGTTACAAATATGAAATGAAAACTTGCAATATTTTCACAATTTCGTTTTACGTTTATTTCTATAAAATTCGTAACATACATATTTTGTTCAACTGTTAATAATAAATGAAAAAATAGCTGCACACATGCGTATACATACACTTACAATATAAAAAGGAAATGTAGAGAGTAATCATATAAAAATTTTTTACAAAAGAATTACCGTATATATGTGTATATAGTTCTTAATGAGCATTGTTAAACACAACACAATGTTCTTTAATCAATTATCATTTCGACAATCTGACCATCTCATATGTATTTCGATAATAAAAACTACTTTTGTCTTTAACATAATAAAATGCACATTTGAGTTTCAATTTTTGTCATTACATTTGGCAGCACCAAGGGTACGGTAGGGGGCAAGGAAAGGTATATATGTAGGTAAAGTACCGTTCAATTCGTCATATCATATCGTTGTATGCCTTTGTGCTGCATAACATATTTATATGTATTACGAATAACAGTTAGATTTGTGCTAATAGTTTCAATTTCTTTAAAAACAAACTATTTTGGCGACGCGCTGTTTACAAATGAAGTAAACAACAATTTTTTACACTTATAACATACACACATATTGTTGCAGCTGTGCTGGAAAACGTTCGAAAAGCGCAAAGCACTTCCATTATCGTAGTTGTCGTAGTAGTAGTATTAGTAGTGCGGTATATCAAGGATAGCCAATGGAATTGGAAATTAAGGTGACCACATTGTCATATGGAGAGTAAGCTGCTTTTGCTGATCGATTGTTTTCCAGTGCTACCAGGAAGTTAACATTCGCAAGGATTACAGATCATCGTCGCCAATGCCTTCAAATGCTTCGTTGCGCACGGACGCAGCCGTTTCGTCATTGCGAAAGAAAACAGCGGCGAAGGTGCGAGCCGTTGTCAGCTTGTGCTGCTGCTTTGAGCGTTGCGCTAGAAACTTAACCGGCGGTGTCATCGTTGTCGATGTACCCGATGTCGTTGTGCAGGACGAGGAGACTGAGCTGGGCGTCGATGTGGTCGATTCCGATGCGCCACGAGATGTGCTTGCTTCCTGCTCATCATCGCTTCCACCGCTGGCTCCGCCACTCCCATTGCTGTCACTGTGCAGCAGCTCATCGACCATGGCCTGCAACGAAACAGACATAAGCATTGCCTGCTGGCTGGTAATCGTTATCCACCGCAGCGTTTGCTTCGACATCAGATACTCGAAAGATAACTGCAGCTGAGTTGGCTGATCTCGTGACTCGTACGTATTATGCATTGCACTCACTCGCCAGCAGCGCATCCGAGTGACCCGAAATTTGGTCTCATAGATTTTGGCACCACGTGCCGTGCGCAAACTCAGCTCCCGATTGCCAATGGTCACCAGCGCTGTGGTCTCCAGCTCTGGGTAGTCCACCTGCGCGGCGCCGAACTGTAAACAGCCATAGGAGGGCAGCTGACGCACTAGCTCTAGATATTGCAAGGGTCGCGATTGCAGCTGCAAGCTGCACAGCTGTCGCCGCATCTCAGGCGTACAAATAACCCATTCACGTGCCACATCCGCCAGCGTTTGATTGTAGAGTAGGTTGAGCGCCACGCTGTTGTTCAGCAGCTTTGAATCCCATCGCGAGTTCCAGTAGCATGTGCGCAAGAGCAATTGACAGGGCTGCGCATGCATGCGCGAAATGAATGGCGACTCAAAGTCCATCAAACGGCGGAGCAGCAGCACAGCGGACGGATCGTCTGGCGAGGAGGAGCCATCCTCTGATGCCTCCACATTTCGCATGAGATACAAACAAAAGAATTGTATTAGTTCGTCGGGGAGCTGCAGCATGCGACAGACGGACTGCAGCAGAGCGCTTACATTCTGCTGCACATGACAGTTGACCAGCAACTGTACACCACCTGATCCTCCTCCTCCTGGTCCTGCTGCCCAGCCACTGTACACCTCCACTTGAAGCTGCTGCTGCTCATCCTCGCTGCTCACCGAGCACTCGGCCAGCGCTGTGTCCAATTGAGCGCGGTGCAGAAACTGTTGTAAGTATGTGAGACGTGTGATTCGCCCATCCTGACCAATGATCTGCAAGTAGTGCTCTAACGCAGCACGTCGTGTCTCCAGCTGACTGTTGCTCAGTGGCAGCAGCCGCTTGGGTGGGAATGGCGGTAACGCAGCGTCAGTGCAACGCCTACGCAGCTGTTCGTGCAGCGCGTGCAGCTGCTTGTAACGCAGGCTGCAATGATAGTTACCATTGATGTAGATGTTGTATACCGTGTATGTGGGCGAGCCACCGCTCCCATCCGCATATTGTTCCTGTGTGTCTGGTATTGAGAAATGCATTTTGTTGTAGTTGCTGCTGTTGTTGGACGCTGTTGTTGTTGCGTTCACTATTTCATTGCGTTTTATTTGTCCGCCATGGACGTCTCTAGCCTTTTGTTGGCCGATTAGTCACTGTGGTTTTATTTGTACATGTATTAATTTATTTAATTAAAGAAATTGCGATTGAGTTTTTTCACCTACACGCTGGAGGTGAGCTACTCACTTTGGCACAACCGATTCTTAGAAACTTATTTAGCTATCGATATTTTTATATTGCAATTTAAATATTAATGAAATAATATTTGAGATGGGTAATAACGCGGAAATATTCCACATACAGATTATTTCCTACAAATTGAATTAAATATTGAAGATATTTATATATACATTTTTACTTCAATGAAAATATGACAAGGTAGGGTATATAACCAGTCCACATTATGAATTTAAATTGGTCTCCCATCTCTACAGTTGGTGTATAGTTTTCAGTTGCATGGTTCTTGAGTTAGTATATAACTATCGATAACTTTCCTCCCAGTTTACACAATTCAAAAATTAAATGATATGAATTCAAGTTAAACTATCATATGGCATATGTCTTTCAAGCAAGCGCTAGCTTATTGATTACAACTAAGTATAATTTAAGTTTACATTATTAAGATCGCTTGTTTCAATGGACAATGGTCAGCTGGGTCAGCAGCTGATCCGCAACTATCAGCTGAGAGTGTGTTTAATGTAGGGAAAACGTGGACGACACGAGAACGTATCAACGTATTTTGAATGGAATTGCCAAAACAAAGACCACATCATGACATTGGAGCTCTCTTTGCAGACGCAGAGGGCTTTCTGCGGGTCAGTGCTCCCATGGTGAGATACAGTAAGCTGGAGTTTCGAAGATTATTGCGCCAGAATGGAGTCCAATTGGCGTTTACACCGATGATGATATCTGATTCGATCAACAATAGTGAAAAGGCTAGACAGAATGAGTTCACCACGGGCCTTGATGATCTGCCTCTAATCGCCCAATTTGCCGCCAAAGATGCAATGGAATTTGTAACGTCTGCACAGCTCATCTATCCTTATGTGGATGGCGTTGATTTAAATTGCGGCTGCCCGCAAAGTTGGGCAATAGCCAAAGGTTATGGCTGCGGACTGTTGCGGCAACCAGAGCAGGTGCGAGATGTAGTCCAAAGCTTGCGGCGCACACTGCCCTCGGATTTTAGCGTCTCTGTAAAGATGCGTCTTTTAAACAGCAGCGACAACCAGACCTCAGTACAAAAGACGATTCAGCTGGCTCAGCAATTGGAGCACTGTGGCGTCACCTTTTTAACTTTACACGGACGTACGCCAGCACAGAAGCATTCCAAGGATACACTCAACGTGGAAGCCATGGCCAATGTCGTCAAATCGCTGCACATTCCGCTGATAGTCAACGGCAATGTGGAAAGCTATCAAGATGCCTGCGAACTGCATGCCCAGACAGATGCTGCAGGCGTCATGGCCGCACGAGGATTACTCGCGAATCCTGCACTATTCAACAGTGACTATCGGCTAGCCACCACAACGCCAAAGGAGTGTTTACAGCAGTGGCTGGACATCGCAGAGTCTGCGGGTGATAATTTGCATTTTCAATGCTTTCACCATCATCTTACTTTTATGTGGAGCAATGCAATGAAACGTGCCTTACGCATCCAATTCAACAGTCTCGGCACCAAGCCGCAAGTACTGCAGTTCCTTGCCGAACACTATGATGTACGTCCCAGTCCCAGTAGTTCCACATACCAATACACAAACTGCACATATACCCACTTCACACCGCCCAAACATGCACGTCATTTGGCTGCGGAGGTGGAAGAAAATTGTTGGGATGCTGGCAGCGATGGCAAATATTTTACAGACTTTAAAAGTCAGCAAGTGTCTAGCGAAAATGGGGGCGATCTTAATCTGGGAGGTCTATTCCTAGATGACGACTGACGTGTAAAATAAATCAGGTAGTTATGGCGTGCGTTTCAATTGGTTTAAGGCGACAGTTAAATTTAAATAAAAGAAAACGTATTTGTCGGTAGGTACATGTATACAAATATTTTAAAAACAAAAAAAACACTAAACAGCTAAAAAATCTTTTAATTTTTTAACAGTTGTAGATTCTGTTAGACCTCATAGTAATCGGAATATTACATGTATATATCGATAGTAAATTCGAATGCTTACCAACTGAAATTTTTTATACAAGGCTGTTATTCAGGTCTAATTGCTGAAGACTCAAATATTTTAATTTTATATTAATTGTAAATACACAAAACTTGTCGCCACATAAACGACTATTGTGATTTAAATTGTTATTCATATTCTATTCGATAGTCGGTAGCTTAAAAATATTGGTACACCAAGCGTCGTCCATCACTAAAAACAAAGCAGGAAACCAAAACAAAAAACAAACACGTTAAAATGCGCCGCCGAGAGTTACAAACTATACAACTAAAACTCTCCGAGCTTAAGGAGTATGAGCAGGCCAAAATGGAGCGTGCAAAGGCACGCCAGCAGGTGTCATCGCCACGCACGCCCACACCCACCTCAGACAGCGAAATTATGTTGCTGCCATCGAGCAGTGTGCCGACAATTTTATTGGCCAACAACAGCAACAATGTCGGCGATGATGCCGACAGAACGGCCAAGGAGTGAAGAGATTCATAAGTTCCGCTTATAATATATGGTAAGTTGACGTTTGTAGTTACGAATACAAGTTCAAATTGTTGTTAAATTACATTAATACTCATTGCCAATGCTGCTACTGCTATTGTTGTTGTTGTTGTTGTTCTGAAAACGCACCGTCTCAAAGCCATCAACGAGTATCTCGCGATCCTCGGTCTGTTGGCGCTCACGCAACCATTGTTCGCGCACTGGCATGTAGCGACGCAGTCCCGGCCATTTACGCCAACAGCGACGTTTATAAAGCAGCCAAATCAGCGACACTGCGCATCCAAAGAGGAAACACAATAAAAATATGCTAACGCCACGCACATGCGAATGGGTCTCCTCCTCCTGCGCGTGCGCCTTTGTAACAGCGGCCAGCACAGTTTCATTGTCAATGTCCGGCGCTATTGTTGGTGGCATCTTGCTTTGCTCCTTGTCGCACCACGTAATTTTCACATAGTTTGTGATGACGTCTCCTGCAAGCGAATGAATGCGCACGGCACACTCGTTGTAGGTGCCGTTCAGTGAGGTCTTGTGTACGTAATTCGCGAGGGCATGTTGGCGTCGTGTTATGCAGCTCAGATGCGTTTCGGCCACCTGCTCAGAGATATTGTTGCGATAATGAAGCACGTAGTTAACAATCAATCCATTCGGTTGATCTGGCTCTGCAAAGCGCACGATGTAGTCCGTTGTCTTGGGCAGACGGCATGCCATTAGTTGCGGCAACAAGTCTGCACCAATTGTGAAATTTGTGCGTTCGTGCACCGTCGTGGAGCTGCTGCATCCGAGCATATTGCAAGCTTGCAATTGCAATGAGTACAAGCGATAGCGCTCCAGCTGACGCAGCTCATAAAACGTCACATTGGACGCCAGGCGCAGCTGCTGCCCTGCCTTTTGCGTCGAGGACGCACAATTGTCGGGCTCATCTAGGCTGCAGCGAAACATTTCAGCCATTTGTTTGATGAAATCCTGATCGAGCGCTTGATTTGCCTGTCGCGTGCAGCATTCATCATAGTCGTCTTGTTCCTGCCGCCAGCGCACTGCTTCCATGTCTTGCCTGGACGCCGGTTGCCGGCAAAAATTGCGTTCATCCATGTAGGCGGTATCATCAGTTAGTTCATGCACTGTTAACATATAATAATCCAACTCCTCTCCCTTTAAGCGTAGCGTTAACGTGTTGTCCGTCTTCTTGGTAATGGCCAGTGCTGGAGGTTTTGGTATATCCATGTGCGTTTCCACGTAAATCAAATCGCTGCGCGCGTCGTGCTGTATATCGCCGCCAAAGGTGCGCAGCATGCAGACGTAACGCGTATGCGGCCGAAGTTGATCCAGTTGATAGCTGTAGTGGGTGCCATTATCCTGTAGATCATCCGCAAATAGCAACAGTCGCTGCCAATTGATGCGCGTGCAGATTGGCGCCTCCAGCTCACTTTGCTCGGCATACCTTGTGCCCAGCGGCACGGTTCTATAAATCAGCTCGAGCTCTACACTCATTTGCAACTTTAGCCAGCTGAACTGCAGCGTGCGATGAGACGTTGGCTGCAAAGAGATGGTAAAGCCAAAGGCATTCAATTGTTGAATGAACATTAACATAGACGGGCTTACCTGCACGAGCAACTGAAGCTTGGCTGGACCGCAGAGCACCTCCTGGTCGCTGGTCTGCAGCGAGTCCATCACCTTGTCATGTATAACGCGATCCTGAAACTCTTTTATATGCTTGTTGCATAGCTTATTGTTGCGATGCATAAACATGCCGCCGCTGACAAACTCCAGCTGCTTGGTTGGTGCCCACAGCTCGCTGAGATGCTTGTTGTCGTACAATATGAAAGCATAATGCCGATTCTCGAGAGGATCGCCGTGTATGCGGCGCAGGTTGCTCAGGAACTTCAGACTGCTCAGCTGTGAGGAGCTATAAAAAAGCCAATTTCAATAGACAGGCGACTTGTTGGAATGGAATACGAACCGATAGATCTTTAAGTGTCCGCGTATCTCGCGTATGCTGCTGAGACTATGCTCCAGCTGCTGCTCATTGACTTTATTGCGTATGGTGATGATGAGGCTGCTGTTCACAATTTGACAGCCGCGCAAATCCTCAGCATCGGCCAAATTGTATATGACAATCATGCCATCCTGATGCTCTGGCGAACAGACGCTGATGCATGCCTCCAGTGGCGCACAGCGTACGCAATCCGATGCGGCATTGGCTTTGTAGCCGCTGGGACAGAACGCCACACACTTGTCGCCAAACGTAAAATGGCCATGGAGATGGACACATTCGTCGCGGGTATAACAGCGTTGATAGTGATCCAGCACATACCTGCAAACGGACTAAGACTAAGTGGCAATCAACCAGACGCCAAGCCGAATCTGGCCCAGTTCCGTACTCACTTGGTCGCCGGGCAACGCTTAACACAGACACCTGCATCCGTTAGGCCACGGCAGACGACACAGCCGGCAGCTGTTGTATTGTGACAGCCGCCCAGACACTCCTCGTGGCAGCTCTGCAAATTTCTGCGAAATTCAAAAGTTTTGCAATCGGAAAGTAAATCAGTTCGAAGTGGAAAGAGAAAAGTTTCAACTCAGATCAAAAATATGTTTTATTTTAATATTAGAGTTTAGCTTTTTGTGTGCTAATGGTCGGATATTGGCCTAGTGAACCTGAACCTTTTATAACATTTTGTAATCCAGGACCTAAGCTGAATATCTTAATATTAACTTGAGGCTTTTATGTCTAAGGCTTGTCTCAAGTGGTTTACAGCGAAATCGTTGCTAATGTTAAGCTTCTGTTAATAACAGTGTTGCTTATTAACATTAACAGTATGTTACATTTAATTTCTAAGAATTTAGGTTTAGCAGGGAAAATGTTCTGTCCGCTTTACATAAAACCTTTTGCTGGTCACATCTGCCTCTACTCTTCAGACTACTATAGACATTGATAGGGCTGTTCGCAGTAAAATATCAAATAATTAACGTCAGACACCTACCGATCATAGTGCACGACATTATCGTTTTCGAAGCGCTGGCAGGTAAAATTCGACCAACAGTAGTTGGAGGCGCAACCTTTGCAATTAGCTCGATGTGTGCAGTTGTTGGATCCAATTACAATATGATTCTCTCCAGCGCTCAGTGTCAGTCGATCCCAATTGATCTACAAAACGAGAGTTGAGTGAGCACATCTAGATATCAGGCATTATGCATACCCTATTCAGCTGGCAGAGCTTGTGGCAGTTGCCGATGTAGACGTGACCATGTTGTATGGCAACTAGAGACTTAAATTCCAACTGAAATTCGGAGAGAAAAGTATTATCTAGAAAGAATGTGGATTCAAATTGATCTTGATCAATTCTAGAAATTCTTATATAATTTTACGATTTTCTTCATCATAATTTTCACTTACCAGCTCTAATTCGGGCATGCTGGTAATGCCCAGTGCATAATTGAGGAATAGTCGTCGGCCGCGTATTACAGTGAGATTGGGAAACATGTCACGGATATTGGTCAAGTCCTTAACCTCGGTGAATATCATATAGTCCGTGATTTCGCGCAATTTGGGAAACGAATACAGCGAGAAGTTGCAATTTTGACTGGGCAATAGTGTGATCATTACATAGCCAATGACCACTGTACAATTATCCAATAGTCTCATTTTGCTGCACTCGTTGCGTATGTCTATGCTGGTGCATTCTTTGAACTCGGCCGATTTATATTGCTGTGTGGCTGCCAAGGCCAAGGCCAAGGCGAAGATGTTAGCAAGCGCTAGCAACATGTGTCCAAGCTTTAGCAGCATGTTGCCAAGTGTCTGTTGTTCGTGCGTGTTTATAATTGTTGCTGCAAATGGGAATGTTGCTGCTGCTGCTGTTGCTTTTGTGCTGTTTGTTGCTGGCGTCTTTTCAACATTGCTCAGCTTTCTGCTCTTTCATCGGATTTGTTTATATGGTGTAACTTACAATTATTTCGCTCTTGCCGTTTCTCTGTCTCTTTAGCACTGTTCGCCTAATTAGCGCATTGCCTTTTGCCGATCGTACCCGAATTCCCGATTAGCCGCAATTTATGAGTTTCCACACTATCGTCAACGAAAATCGCCCAAGAAGCTTCAGTTAATTTTTGGTCGCCGACTTTTTCGCTTAGTTGTCTAAAAATTCACACAGTAAAAAAAACACACACACCGACAGGAACACAGTTAAAATAATTATTGCTGCTTCTGCTAAAAATCACAACGTTGCTTTTTTCTCTTTCAAAGGGCACAAGTGCTAGCCACGAATTGATTTGATTTCAATATTGCGGTACTTTGCCTGCAGAGTCTTTCCATTGACAGAGTTGCCACGTAACTTAAAGATCAAGAAGGAGTTGGTTAGTGTAGGAAGTGAGTCAGGGAGAAATAAATACATAATAACTCCCAAGGAAAACATTATTATATAGATATTTATTGTATTATTTATATATTTATTATATTATTTATTTATTTATTATACTATTTATATATTTTTTTTTATATATTTATACCATTTTTTTTTTCATTTAGTTAAGTAATTATCATTTTAATTGTTATAAAATATTTTGTTTCTTAATAAATTCAATTGCGGTTTCAAATAGTATAATTAAATTAATAAAAATATTTTTTTGGGAAAAATTATTTGTGGATTTTTAAAACACATTAAATATTAATTTAATTGTTTAAAAAATAATAATTTCAATAAATAATTAATTTCACGATTTTAGTTTTTATTATGAACATTTTATATAAATATGCATTTTATATTTTTTAATTTTATGTATTTGTTATATTACATTTTCTTTAATTAATTATAGTATTTAAAAGTTTTTAATATTTAAAACTAAGTTTTAGATTTATATATTTACAAATTATTAAAATTAGTTTGAAACTAAATTTCTCATTTATAAGAATTTTTAACTAATTTTAATTTTTAAACACAAATGATAAAAATTGATTTTTTAGGCCCGTTTGTCGTTTTAAATAACTTGACAATTTATTGAGTTGTTTTTAGAATTATTAGAATAAATTGGCAAAAATTGATCAATTGAAATAGTTTAAATTAAAAAAATTTAGCAAAATATAATTGATCAGAAAAAAACAATGGTTTAATTAAAGCTCGTTTTACATTTTCACAAAAGAAATTTCTTTATTTATTATTATTAATAAAAAAATAAATTAATTGTTTAACACATAACTTTAATAATTTTTATTACATTTTGTTTCCTTGCAGTTGGCCATCATCAAGGAATCAATACACAATATATATATAACTACTTGACTTTATACCTCGTAACACTATATGCAAAATATAGTTTTATATATAAAACACAATTCAGATTAAATTTTGTAAGCACTCGTATATAGTTATTTATTAAGTTGAAATAGTTGAATTGTATTTATTTGTATTTTACATTCAATTTGCCAATGATTTGTTTAATGCTACAATAAAAGACTTCATAATTTGTAAAATCGAATTGAAAGTTTAATTTTCGAACAGTTTCTGAGACGCGTTCGCGACGATCTTGCTGCGGCGATGCCCAATTGTCGACTGGACGGAGGCGAATGGAAGCCACAGAGTCTGGGCCGGGAACTTAACGATCTGTGCGAGCCATCAAATTGATTTTTTATTTAGTGTATGCCCGCTTACACTGCGCAGCGTGGTTGATGGAACGTGCCAGCGCCGGCCTCACTATCATCTGTGTCGTACGGCATTTCGAGGGCAGGCCGTAAATTCATTTGAAGCATTTGATTTGCCGTCGATGTCGTTCGCGTTTCCCGTTAATTTGTCAACTGTGCAGCTGTCTGTTGCATAATGCCCGCGCACTCAAATCGAATGCAATTACACCACATATGCAGGGTGCAATTTCTCTCAGTGCAGTCAGTGGCTGCCTTTCCATTTTTATGCAGTTCCTGTTCTTGGCTTCTCTCTTAGCCATGCTCCTCCTGCTCCTGTCAAACAGCCAGCTGATTCGTATGGCTCATAAAAACAGCTGACTCCAATTAGCCACATGGCATATCGATCTTACGGGACCCTACACACACGCACGACCACACACACACACACACAGGCTCGCACATGCACAAATCCATCAGAGCAGCTGAGGCCAAAAAGCTATTAACGTTAACGAGAGTAGCATAAATATGGGAGAAAAAAGAGCTAAAACGAATCAATTTTCCAGCTGGGCCTACACGTTGAACGCATTTTAAGAAACCTTAAATATTTTATTATTTTATATTATTTTTGGGAGAAGTTTGACGGATCTTTGGGAAATTTTAAATAATTCGCGTTGAATCCAAAAGTTATGAATAGATAGAGATAGAGAGATATGGAGAGAGAGAGAGAGATCAGCTATCTCTTTATAAGGCAGTTCAAATATTGCAATGTTGAAGCATTAATGGATTATAATACTTAACAACGATTCTCAGACAAAGCCCAACTGATTTTGTATTAGAGTCGAACTCTTGACTTAAAAGTTAAATAACAACAAAAATCATATCTCTTACAATTTAGATCTTTTGCTTTTCCAATCATATTTGATTGAACTACAATTTGACTTTAAATTTTATTGAAATTTTATTTATCTTAAGAAACTATTTGAGGATTTGTAATATTTCTGACTTTGAACTTTGAAGAAATAAATAGAAAATAGGAAATATTTTGAAAAAAAAACAATTGAAAATAGATGAATTCTCTGATTCATACATAAACATAATCGAGTCATCTATGTATAAACTTTCCTTTTTTCTGATCACAGTTATCTATATCAAATAGAAAGCACAAGAAAAACAATATCATCAATAGTAAGAGGATGGCTTGGGTTCAATTGAATGAATATTTTTAGACTAAGACATCACAAATATTTCTTATTTTTTATTTAAATGTCCAGCAAACTTGCTCTTTAAAGTCTGCCGATAATAAATAAACAAAAAAATAAGTGAAATATTGTTTTCGTTGCAACGCATTATTTGTATGGAAAGATCATTTCATGTTTGGAAGGCCCCGTTGCTCGTGTCAAAGTTCAATTAATTCAATTAAATTAGTAGTAGTGTGTGTGTGTGTGTGTGTGTGTGTGTGTGTGTGTGTGTGTGTGTGTCATGTATAAAGCCCAACGCATATGAATCCAAATTTACATAAAATGAATACGTTCTCGTATGAGGAAAATAGTTTTAGACTTCTTTATCGACATTACATATATGTTTATATATATATATTTATATATAAATTTGAGGCTTAGTTTAGGTGAAATGTGAACTGGAGCTGCGTTTACTCTGGTGGCGTATTATCGTGTATCCATTCCTGGAAGTAAACCAAGCTCGTGTAGACGCTGGGTATGCGCAGGCCGCCGCAATTGTCGGAGCCGAAGGACATAATGCCGATCTGTGGAAAGGAAGACAATTTACTAAGGTTACTAAGCACCTATGTATGTCAGCTTACCTGTGAGAAGATGTTGTTCTCCTGAATGAAGAGCGGCGCACCGCCAAAGCCTTGGCAGACATCTTTTCCCTCGCCGCCGGCGCACATCCATTGGCCCTCAATGGAGTTGGGTGATTCGAGAGCGCCCGTCGAGCCATAGTTGCGCAGACACAAATCCCAGTTGGTGAGCGGCACGTCCAGATGCGACATCTCTGGCTGGCGAAGGCTCGACGTGGACATCTTGCCCCAGCCGGCAATGGTCGCCCGTTTGCCCACGACCAGATTGGCGCGTGTCTTTTGCAAACAGATCGGCTGTGTGGCCACTGCATTGGAGGAGCAGAAGAAGAATTACAAATCGATACGAATCTAATTTTGGGTTCTTGTAGGCTGCAGACATGCAACGCCCATTGATCGTGATCGTGGGCAAAGGAAAAGGGAGGCAGGTCTTGGTTATTGCAACATTGTTGAATTCATTGTTGCCCCATTGATTGGCCTTGCGCTCACGTACGCCCATTAAACGTTATAAAGCCATAAAAACCACCAGCCAACAAGCCTGGCCAGCAATTAAGGTAACGCCCCCTCGCAGCTCTCAATGGCAGCGTGGCTAATGTGTTGTTTACGGGTTTGCTTTCCTCTTCAGCCAGCCCACTGACGAATTGTGCCGGTAATGGCCCTTATTTGTTCAGATCGTAACGATATTGACGCTTTAACATTCAATTTAAATTTATGTTTTCCACAAAGCTGAAACTCCTTCTGAATTCATGAGAACACAAGAACACAAGCTCAAAATACAACAAAAATATAAGACTTACAATATATATTATCATAGTTACATATCAAAAATCCTTTTACAGAAAAAGTTAGTACTACAGTAAGCCGGGCTTATTTAAATAGTAGCTTGAATGCTAATGAAAACTCTAAAATTAGCATTAATCAAAACCATCTGATCTTTTCTTTGTATTTATATAAATATATTTTGCTATTCTAATATTAAGCCAGAATTCGAATTTATAATATTGTATAAATATGAGTTATTTTATTAAATAAATTTAGCTATCATTAATAATCATTAATAAAATATAAAAATTTCTACCTTTTCAGTTCTTTGGAATATACCATCTTGGAAGATCTTATTTGTTATAAACGTAAATTATATCATACTATTTTAATATTTTTTTTTTTACTATGGAAATTCTTTTCATTTTTATATTATCTTTATTAAACTATGCTAGGTTTATTTTTTACTATGGAAATTCTTTTCATTTTTATATTATGTTACAATATTATTTTATTAAAATTTCCGTCAACCCATACATCGAACTGCATTGCATATATATATATATATATATATATATATTTTTTTTTTTAAATTTCAAATGCAATGCAGTTCGATGTACGGGTTGACGGAAATTTTAATAAAATAATATTTTAACATAATATAAAAATGAAATGAATTTCCATAGTAAAAAATAAACCTAGCAAAGAATAATATTATATATATACCCTCATCTTAAAAGGTATAAAAAGTGAAAAATAAAATAAGCGCTCAGCACTGAAGCTAGACTTAAGTTGGAGACTTCAACTAAATACTTGCCCGATTTTAAAAAATTTTAAGTCCATTTACAATTTATGTCATCTACAAATAAATCTATAAATTATATGGCCCATTGGGCATGGACAATCGGAAAATATTGATTTTTGAATCAATTAAACTGTTTTTAGAGCGTGAATGAAATATATATATAATGATTAAACTCCATCACATACTTTTTCTGATACGCTATTTATATGATTTTTCATGAATATTTTATTTAAAACTTCCATTGTATTTATTGTATTAAAAATTTCTTTTACTTTGATTTAAGCTTTTTTAAATTAATTAAATTGAGCTTTCAGCAGATTTTAAGAGCTCGATTTTTATATTCTGTTTTTTTTTTTATCACAAATTCCTCGGATCGAATTAGAATAAATACAAGTTAAACTGCTTTAAAGAGTCTCTAAAATAGTTCCTTTCATTAATTTCAGTTGTGCAATTAGGAAGTGCAAAGCTTAAATTTGAAATTTGAAACAAAGTCCAGAACTATTGAACTATATCTAAAATCGAAAACTGGCTCATTATTTGGTACAGTAAGCACAGAGCGTAGAGCTTGGAGCTGGCCAATTAAGTTAGCCCCCAGTAACCCCCGTCCTATCCGAAATGTCGCCCTTGCCTCAAATTAGCAAACATGCAATGTGAGAGACGATGCGACGCATGTGTAGTTGACATTATTGAACTTGGCGAGTCAAAAATAACAAAAAATAGAAGAAATATCACAGAGCAAAACGATTTTTAATTAACGTTGACACTGCGAAGCGTAACCAGCTGCCAGCTGCCAGTTACCCCTCCCCCTCTCCCCTCGCCCGTATTTCAGTTCCATCGACCCACCCCGCCGTCAGCGCAAAGGCCCCGCCCCAATTCTTACCCGAGTAATTGAGCGGTGTTTTGAGCACTAGCAGCGCAATGTCATGATGGTATTGGCCTTGCTTGTAGTCGGGATGCACAATCACATGGCTAATGGCATGATTCACTGAGCGCGGTGCGCAGAAGCCAGTGCTAGCGCAGTCCGGATCACTGGAGGTGTCATACTCGCCAACGCGCACCGATGAGCTGCCGGGGAAAGTGAACGAGATTTTCTAATAGATGTGGAGATATCGGGACGGGCATAGCTTACAGTCGATGGCCATCGGCTTTGGCCAGTGCACAGTGGGCGGCTGTTAGGATAACGCGTCGAGCAATGATCGAGCCAGCGCACGGATAGGCAAAGGCGCCCGTGTTGACATCTGTAATTGTGTGAGCTCCGCATAACATACTCGCTTCTGATATTTTGTTCATTCCACTTACGCTTGAAGCCCACGCGTGCCACAAACGGATACGAGCCGAGGCCCTTGTAGAAGTGCCCCTGCACCAGCGACTTGCCGCACACCTGGTTCTTCTCCAGCGGACTGCTTGGACAGCACACGTAGGGCATCTCCTCGCCGCCGCCACAATACAGCGACTTATCGCCGTAATAGCAATTCTTGGCCACCTCATAGATCATGGCCGTGCAGTCGTGCAGCGGCGTACACTCGGTGCCAAAGGCGCACTCCGCGCTGCCAGCTGTCTGGCTGCCCAAATAGGAGCGAGCGGACACCGAGTGGCTGGCGTTGGTGTTGCCATTGGTAAGATCCCTCTTGGCAACAGTTGGCGGTATAACTAGTTTTTCTGGCAAGTCGAAAAAGTTATTTAATATATTACATTTTATATTTGGTATTTTCCATAAGTATCTACTCTATTAATTCTATACATAAATGAATATATATTTTTTGTATATAAAACTAATTTTATTTAATAATTTTCATTTAATTTAATACTTTTTATAACAAGTTGAAAATATATGTATCAAATTTGACAACATTTTTGAATGCATTAAAAATTTTGAAAAACAATTTCCAATAAATAACGTAAGCTGTAAGCAATTAATCGATTTACAATACTTTTAAGCTATTTTAATTCCATTGCTTAACTTTTCAAAGGTAAGGGAAAACACTTAAATCTAATTAATGTAGTTTTCCTATATGAGCCAGTTGGAGATACTTTAAGGAAATATTTTATAGGCCCACTAGTCAACAAAAAAATGTTTGGAATTGCAGTAAAAAACTGGCAAATTTAAAATAAGGATCGAATAAATAAATGTATATTAATACATAATTTTTAAAAAATGATATTTCTATATCCATATTTTATATTTATTTCTATTTTTATATTTATTTAAAAACAACTTTTTTAAAACCATTTTCAATTTCATCTCGAATATAAGTTAAGTTTATTAATTTTTCTTATATAAATTATGTAGAAGAAAAAACGAAATATATAATTTTTATATTAATTAATTTATATACATTATTTTTAAAATTTTTTTTTATTTGTTACCTAATTAATTATAAATATATAAATATATATATATATATATAAAAGATCTACTTAAAAAATAAATCATGAAATAATATAGTCAATATCTAGTATATAAAAATTTAGATAGATAAGTTAATTATATAATTAACTAATATTTAAGGCCAAATTAAAATGATTTTTTTAAAGAAAACTATATCAAATAATAAACAAGACATTAAATGTGATTAAATAGTTAAAAATATAAATTGAAATGCGAATTTTAATAAATAAAGGAAATAATTTATATATACACACACTTAAAAAATTAACTTTCGCAATATAATTTAAAATAATTCCCCAATTGCAAAAAAACTAAATAAATATTACTCAATATGACTTTATATGTTTCGTCGATAACCCTGCGTAATCAATAATTTTAAATAAAACCCACTAATATACCTACCAAACTCACCAGCTTCAGCTCGAATGCATGCAAATATGCTGCAAAATATGAATAATCCATAAAAGGAATGCATAGCCACGTCGCCAAACACTTGTGTGATTTATCCCAATTTTCTACAAGGCAATAAGACACTTGGCACTTAAATCACTGCACTTATTAACTAGAGTTCCAATGACTGACGAACCGAACGCGTTCACAAATCTCTTTCGACTAAACGATTCGACGCTAAGTCCGACACTAAAAATCGCGCTGCAAAATGAATACGAAAACTGAAAATGAAAAATGAAAAATAAAAACTGAAATTTTATGGGCAGTTGCGGTAGCTGCTGCCACTGACTAACTAACTGATTTTATGACAGTTTGGTCTCAATTCCAGGTTGTGTCGTGTTTTTTTCTAACTCCGATACGATCAGGGCACGCTCTTTGTATTTAATGTGTGATATATGTGGATCATAGTAACTCGCACAGCCGGTCATTAGTTAGTTGAATGCAGTTTTTATTTACCATATGATGAGCACATATTATAGAACTGTGGTTAAGCACATACAGCTATATATAACTGAAGAGATGTACCTACACACAAGTAATATATACTGGCAGATCGGTGCATACGAGGCAAATGATGCGACTGTTAGTTGCAGTTTTCACTTCGTAATTGTAAATAATTTGTTGAATTTATTGAATCCTAAATTAATCAGTATATATACACATAAATTGTTAAATATGAATTCAAATTAATTAAATGTTTATAGTAAATTAAATACTAAAAAGAAACATAGTAAAAATTTATATATTTTTTCTAATAATATTTTGTTTAAATACACTGGATAGAATGAAAAAAATATTGAAGCTTATTGGATATGGAAAAAATAAAGTAAAACAAGTAAAAAATAAATGAATAAAATTGGGTAAAATTAATTACAAAAAAAAAACCAAATTAGGTAATTAATAAAAATAAATTGCAATTTAAATAAAATAAAATATGTATATAAATTGATAAAAATTAGGTTATTTAAAAATTTTAATTAGTTTAATAAAATAATGGAAACGCAAATAAATATAATTAAAAAATTAAGTCACACTAAATATAAAATATAAAATGTAAATAAATATATATAATAAATTTGTATTATGTAATAAAAAAAAACCAGAATTTGAAATTGAATTTTATAAACTGAAAAACTTGAACAATTATTAACTTTGAAAAGGTATATTTGTTAAGTTAACAAATAATTAACTTGAACTAAAAATGCGTTTACATATAAATAAATATTACATACATATTACATACATATTAAATGCATATTACATACAATTTCCCATAAGACATAAAATTGAAATAAAAATATTTCAAAATTAAATATTGTTTTATTACTTCTAATTATATAAGAAAACTGTAAATTTAATGAAAAATTATTAATTAATGGTTCATTTGCAAATAGTAATATATTTTTCATTAATTATTTAATAATTAATTTTCTTCTAACTGTAGCGCACATTTTAAATTCCATTCAGCCGAAGCTTTCTTCTGTGCTTTATTATTTAAGTTAATTTTACTTGCTTTTTTTTTACTTTTTTATTGTAATATAATATTATGAATGAGATCATTTTGATTTGATAAGCGGCCGACTGACCAGAGAGACGGTTCCACTTTTTTAAGCATGAAAACAAGCGCGACAAACGCACATTAAAATGTTTTATTGCACAAACAACTATATGCCTAGCTATATAGAAGTATATGAATATAGACGTAAATACTAGTATATATGTATATACTAAGCTAATTTGTTTTCTTTTTTTTTAGTTTAATTTAATGGTGAATTTTACTTTCATTGCGATTAACATCATTTATCGCGCTTTTACAAATAAAAGTGCTCTAGTCGGGTGTGCACAGCTAGCAGATACCGCGAATACTGACCCACAATTTCTGTTTTAGTCAAGTGCTGTATGGGATGTGTAATGACATCCATAAAGTGACAGCTTGATGCTCTTCAAGTGTGGAAGCAGAGTCTAGGGCTTAGTCACGGCTTAGTCACAAGTGTAATTGGGTATATTCTTAAATCAGTTATTTTATAAAGTGTAATTGGGATTAGGTTCCGAAAGACGTATAACTCTCTCATAAGCCGACTTATGTATAGTTATTGTGTAACGGAAGATCCAGGTTAGTCTATGTCCTGGTTCGATTTGCTTTTTCTACGGCTAACTTTAGTTATATTTGCAAAAGGTGAATGAATTTCGTACGACATAAAAATGATATG